CCTCAAGCAAATGAAGATTTGAACTGTAGGAAAAGAACAGGAGTGGATGCAGGGACAGTGTCATTGGAGTGCTGAGCAAAGGTGTGGGACAGCAGCAGCTGAGCGAAGCGCCTTCCCACGAGGCAGCTGGTCCCAGGATAGGCCAGACCCAGGCTGTGGGAGGAATATGGGGAGCACTGTGTGCTGCCTTCAGCAAAGTGTTGAATCGGCTGGTGTCGATGTGCTGACTGGAAAGGCATGGCTGGGGAGAAAGGACAGAATCGTGCATCGCTGAAAGATGCAGCAAGAAAGGTGAGAAAAGGAAATTGTACTGCTGTCGGCTTTTTAGAGATAAGAGTGCAGCTAAAGTAACTGAACTTGCCAATAGAGTGTGGGTCTGAGATCAGAGAGAAAGCAATTTCAGAGCAAAAATGCAAAAGTGACTGTGGTAATTAGGAGTGTTTACAGATAAATTTGGCCAAATATCAGACCCCGTTACAGCACTTGCTGGGACAAGGATTATAGGAGCAGAGCTGAAGCAGTATGAGCTGAATGTTGAGCCATGGAATCATGTGCTGTCCAGACCTGTGCTGTAAGATTAGTTGCTGAAGCGAGCACTGAATGACACAAGCTGCTCATCATTGGGCTGGAATTCTAAGAAAGCCTCCTCTGTCTCAGCACTGACTGTGGAACATCTTGGGATGTTATGGCATAATAATAAATAACATTGATGCAGGACGTGCAGCTCCAGTGAATGTAAACTTGAGCAGCTGGCATCATGTGGATAGCAGCATCAGATATAAGACTACACACATTCTTTTTCCCCTCACTGCTCTGCTGTTGGCTTTTTCATGTGCAAGCACATAGCTGATGCAATGCAGGAATTGTGTGGTTCAGCAGTGGGACACCAGCAAGCTAGGTGTCACTGATGGCACAACTTCTCTCTGCTCATGTGAGGAGACACTGAAAGGTTGCTTGGTATGGAGAATAAAGTTGGTGTTAATGATAATTTATGAGAAGAACAGATCTAGTAAGAATCCCAGCTAAAGCACAGTGTTAGAAAGTGGAGGAACATAGAAGTGAGTTGGTTCTTGTTCCCTAGAAATAACAAACACTGCAAGGAAGTATTCAGAGAGGAATTATGGACTGGCAGTGTACCAGCTGTATTCAGCAGAGTCTGGTTATTGAAAAACTACAGCTTGAAGGTCAAACTCAGATCCTGAACTGTTCTTTCTGTCTTAACATATGAATGTTGTAGAAATATGCTGGAGCTATAGACAGGCTTGTCAGCATCTTCCAGAGCAATGCTTCAGAAATAAGACCAAGTGTTAAATAAAATGACATACTTTGGCATTTTTAACATGACTGAAGTGTAAATCCTTACCTCTACTGTTATCCACAAAAGGTGGAAGTATCTGAGACTTGGGTTGGAACGAAGTAGTTGATGGAGAGAATCCCTTTGATCAGCAGTGAGTGGCCGTGCCTGGGTTGGGAGGCATCGAGGGCTGGGCTGGGTTAGTTCTCACTACCCCTGCTCTGCAGAGAGTTGGTGTCTCTCCATTCCTGTATTCTGTGGTTGCAGCCCTGCTGGGAATGATTTACATTCCTCTCCAAGGTCTAACTTGACTGTTGGCACTTCTCAGCGTGCTCCTAAGCTTCCTGACTCCTAACCAGGATCTCACTTAGGGGAGTCATTTTCTTCTTTCTCACTTAGTTCTCAGCTCATCCTGATACGCAGATTCGTGTTCTTCCTGGTGATTACTAGTGCTTTCGTTTGAACAACTTCAGGCTTACTTTACACAGATGTGCATGTGCATGCGATGGTGCTTTGACAGTGTGGTAACTGGGTCCAGGATAAGTTTTTAGTGTCAGGTAGGTACTGGGCCAGCTCCTTCACTCAGACTGTCTCAAGGCACATTAAGGCACCAGATCAGAGGCAGAGGGAAAAGGTGGGTCAGATAAACTGCAATGTTTTCCACAATCATTAGCCAGACCAAAAGTTATGGTCACCATGAATTCTGTGTAGCAGAGGACCTGTGCAGTCCAACCCAGCATGTAGTGCAGTTGGCTGTGTGTTGTGATACAAAGCAATGAATTAAATGTGGTCCATTGAGTCCAGATTGAATTTAAGCGTCCAGCACTGGACTCAAGTCAGGTCTCAGGCTGAAACGTATGAAAAGGTGAACCAAGGCCCCAGATTAATGTGAGCTAAAGTGGCTCATGCAGTATTTACAGGAGGCAGGCTTTGAAATTCATGTACTTCTGCCACTGATTTCTTTGGGTTTTGTTATGCCCAAACTATTCAAGTCTGGGGTGAATGAGAGGGACGTATGACAGGGATTTAGGCACATACCTCCTTGCCTTTGATTGCCTGGAGCACAGCCTAGTGCAGGATGCCTTCTTTCTGAGTGCTTTTAGCTACACGTGGGCCTAAAGGGCAGGTAGGGAGGCGGCCACAGCTTGTAGCTCAGCGTTCCCCCTGCATACCAGCACTGCCCTTTCCCATCGCTTCTGAAGGATGACCAGAGAAGTAGAGGACTTGCTTTCCACTCACAGCATGCCACTGCTTTTTTACGGTAGCCATGTTGCTGCATTTGCTTACTACTACACTGATTATCAAGTCCTGTTGATTCCCACTGCTGCCTGCTGAGCGCTCTTTGCAGGACAGCTTGCACTGACACCTTAATCTCCTTGGTTAGAGCATATGGCAGCTCACAGCATATAGCAGAAGCACTCTCTGATGCAAATCCCTTGCTCTGTCACACCAGGATGGCTTGTGTGGCACCCATGCTAGGAGCTGTGCAGCTTTCATTTGCCTCTGTGCTCTGGACTAACCTGTACGATTGTCTTTTCTTCCCATTCATTCCTCATCTCCTGTTTCCTGACATTAATTAATACACCAAATAAACTCCTGGGCAGGAAGATGTGCCAGTGCCAAGAAATCTGTAACGTCTCTGTTTCTGGTGATTAACACTTCAGCTTGCTCCTGCTGACCCTGCTCTAGCAGGGGTTGGACTAGGTGACCCCAGAGGTCCCTTCCTCCTCAGCTGATCTGTGCTCACTGATCCGTCACTCATGTCTCACACACAGCTTTGCAAGGGTTTGCTGCCTGGTGGCAACACAGACCTGTCACCCAGAATGGCCGGTGTGGAGAAACTGTGGCAGCTGGCCTGGCAATGCATGTGTGTGCTTGCTTAGCACAGCTGTGGTGCCTGGACCAAACATCTGTATTGCCCCTTGCCTGCTCTCCTAGCAGCTGAAAGCAGATGCTTCAAAAAGAGCTGGGTGAGTGCACACTGCTCTGGACTTAACACATCTCCTGGCTCTGGCAGTCTGCTGTCAGAGCTTCCAGCACTTTCCACAGATGCTTGTTGAATCCTGTGTTGTGACCGGCCTCAAATGGAAGCTCTGTGGGGTCTTAGTTCCACTTGTTAGCCAGTTCCTCTGTCTGCATGGCTCTCCAGGAGCTGAGGCTGGAGTCCCTCTGCTTCCTGGTGCAGGCAGGATGGTGTTGCTGCCCCACGTGTGTTGGGATCAGTTTGGCTGGACAGAGCAGCACAGGAACACAGCGACATGTGGTTGTGTTGAGGGTGTGGGAGAAGAATGCTTGCTGAGTGGACAGAAGTGACTCTGCATGTTGTAAGTGGGTCACTTGAGAGTGTCCCACGCCTGTTACGCAAGCAGGGACGTACTTATGCTGTAGCCGACAGCCACCTGCTCCCTTTGCTTTTTGGCTGGTACTGCAGCTCCAGCTCTGCAGGCTTCTTATTTTAGGTCTAATTTTATTTCTTCATCTCTTAGCCAGTCATTCTTCACATTTCCTGGTAACCTGCTTTCTTCTGCCTATAAATGACTTGCCAAAGCTTGTCCCAGTCCTATTTTCACCCAAGCTGTACTTTTTTTCTTTTCTGATAGAAGAAGCTTTTTGCAAGTTGCTCTGTTTCCCTTCCCCTCCAGCCTTTGTTTCCTCGTGTTTGTGCTGGAAGATGTTTGCTCAGTAGCAGGCTTTTTTCTCAGCAGCTTTTCATTGTTCTGTCCTTGATCCCAGTGTGCCATGCCTCAAGTCAGCAGGCTCAGCCTGTCCAAGGTGCTCAGTAAGGCATGTTGTGGTTCTCATAATGCCATTCTTGTCCACTACCTACCTACTCATTCACCAACGCTCAGTAAAGGGCAAACCACTATTTTCTCCAGAGAAAGGTCTGGCAAAACCAATAGTCCACGGGACCACGTCACTGTTTATCCTGTAAGTCACTGCAGCCAGTTCATGTTTCTCTGGTGCTTTTCCTCTTGGGTCTTTTCTCTTAATCTGCAGGTCAGTAGCATGTCCTACTTCTCAGGATTCATATATTTCTGTCAGCCAGGTTCTGCTCACTCCTTGCCTTCCCCAGGGAAGAGTGGCCACTTCCCATGTGGATAAGAATAAGAATCACAAAGAGGCTTGGTTGGAAGGAACCTTGAAGTCCCTCTGAGTTCCAGTCCCTGCCATGTGCAGGGCTGCCCCCCACCAGCTCAGGCTGCCCGGGGCTCCATCCAACCTGGCCTTCAGCACCTCCAGGAATGGGGCACCTACAGCTTCTCTGGGCACCCTGTACCAGAACCTCACTGCCCTCTGAGTGAAAAAATTTCTCCTCATCTAACCTAAATCTCTCCTCTTCTATTTTAAAGCTATTCTTCCTTGTCCTATTGCTATCAGACCATGTAAAAAGTTGGTCTTCCTCCTGCTTTTGAGCTCCTTGCTCTTCCCCAGGCTGAAGAAGCCCAGATCCCTGAACCTTTCCTCACAATAGAGGTGCTCCAGCCTTCTGAGCATTCTCATGCCCTCCTCTGGACCACTCCAACAGCTCCACATCTTTCTTGTGTGGGGGCCCCAGACCTGGATGCAGTACTCCAAATGAGGCCTCGTGAGGGCAGAGCGGAGGGCGACTATCACCCCCTTAACCCTGCTGCCACCCCTTTGTTGATGGAATTGTGTGCTATGCTGTCAGCCAGCAGTAACGGGCCATGTCCTGCTCTCTCTCCAGCCTGCAAAGCTGCTGCCCCTGCTATGATGCCCGGGCAGATCCCCGACCCGTCCCTGACGGCCGGTGCACTGCCAGGGCTCGGCCCTTTGACAGGACTGCCTGGCACCGCCCTGACAGCCGAGGAGCTGAAATACGCCGACATCCGCAACATTGGGGCCATGATCTCACCACTCCACTTCCTGGAGGTGAAGCTTGGGAAGAGACCCCAGCCTGTGAAAAGCGAGGTGAGTCCAAAGGCTGCTATCGGAGAGCTCGTGCATTGCTTTCCTCACATCTCTGGTGGACATGAGCCCTTGGTGCTGCACAGCATCTTTCTTGTGTTCTCGGCTCATGTTTTAGCTGGCTTCTCGATCCTCACTGCTGTTGAGTGTTTGCATCTCCCAATGCCTGCAAACAGAAATCCCTCAGTTTCAGGCCCTAGTCTGCTACTTCTTTAGCAGCTTTTGATCTGCAATAGCCAGAGAAGCCCTGCAGCTGGCTGGGAACGTGCTAGCATTGGAAAAGGATGTGGTTAGGATGCAGCTGCAGGCCTGATACCTATAGTAAAGCAGCACTTGTGGTAAAGCTGTGCCTGCATGTCATACACCAAACAGTGCAATACTCACATGGCTGTATGTGCTGTGGAGCAAAGAGAGTCTTTAGGCTGTGTGCTGCCCTCCAATGGCACAGCTCCTTCCCTCTGGGGCACCTCAGAGCTGGCCGTACAGCAGCTGCTTGCCCTCAGTACCTGGGGATGGGCATGCAGTCCCACCAGCTCTGCATTACAGCACTGAATGTGCTCTAAGTTGCTTGCCACTGTGTGGAGGAAAGACGAGGAGAAATCCACTGACAGCCCCTGGACTTCCACTTTGCAGCCTCCTCCTCTCCTGCATGGCCTGTGGAGCCAAGGAGTCGAGGACGGCAAATGGAGCGTCCCTGGCACGGGCTTTGCAGCAAAAGCCTAGAAGAGCTGAAGCAGTGGCTGCTTATTCCATGAGTAGCCAAGAAGCAACCCACGCATAGTTTTGCAATGCAGCCTGCAGCTGCTTTCCTCTTGTAGGGAGTGGGAGCCCAAATAGTCTGGGCACCAGCATGCCCTGCCCTATGCAGGGAGGACAGACAGCTTTCTCTTCTGTGCTGTGGGCAGCAGCATCCTCTGGCATTGGGGTGTCTGTCTGTGGCAGAGCCTGCAGAGCTCTCCCATTGAGTGCTGGGCACTGATGTGGGGGAGGTGGGGACCCTTGCTGGCAGCCTGTGCTCCTCCTGGGGCAGCTGGAAAAAGGTGCTGCCAGGCTCTTCTGCCTCCAGAACCCGCACAGGATGTGTTCCCTGGGCCAGAGGCAGCAGTCTTGCCTCTCACATTGATGCCAGCCCCTGTCCTGGATGCCACTGGCTGGAGCAATTCAGGAGGCAACACAAAACCTCCTACCAACAGGGCTCACCTGCAGATTGATTGCTGCAGCATGTTATGGGGGAGTGATGCACCATCATCTTCCCTTGTGCCTCTAACTGAGCTGAGTTCTTACACCAGGGCCACGTCACCATTTTGAGCTGAAACAGAGGTTTCAAAAGGAAAGAAGGCGGCTTTCTTGAAGTCACAGGACTTGTGGGCAAGAAAAAGCGGAGTCAAGCGTTCAAGTTCTGTTATCCCTGTGGGCCCTATCTAAGGGACATGGCCCTTTGCTGGTGCTTTGTGAGGTACTGGGGAAGCTGAAGGGGACAGAGGAGTTGGTTGACTGCTACTGAACAGACCAACTGGTATGGAAATGTAGGCATTTCCAGAGAGACAGTGAGGGTTGCACTGTTATAGGGCATGGAGTTAGGGCTTTCCTGGTCTTTTCTTCCAGTGCCACTGCTGGCCTTTGGTGTGCAGATCCCTCCCTCGTTCTCCCAAGTGTAGTGCGGAAGATCCCACGCACTTCTGTGGCAGAGGAGTGATTGCAGCCCGATGCTGTGGGAAATCTGTGCAGTTTGTACTGACTTTGCATATTATTTTTCTCTGTCTAACACTGCACATTTGGTATAATGTTTGGGAACTAAGGTACAGCAGATGCAAAAAGTGTTAGTGCTATGAAACTTGGGCATTGTCTTCTGAACATTAGACATGCAGCTTACTTAATTCTGCCCAGACAGTGTTTCATCCCATCCTTGCACGTCACGTTGAAATATTCTGATTAGTGGCATTCGGACTACAAGAATGTTAGCAGCTTGCCTGGATTAGACGATGGCCCTTGCAGCCTTCGTTTCCTGCATCAGTGTATCTTTTCTGGGACACCTTGGCACCTTTCACCATCACTTTGTGGCCTTTGTACTGGAGATCTACAGCTCCATTTGAGGTCCCTAAGCCCAAGAGTGAGCAATTAGGCTGCTCAAATGGTGTGTGCTGTGAAAGGCTCCACTAGGAGATAGCTTCTAAACAAACTCACCTGGGGAGTACTAGAGAAAGGAGGATGCTGCCTTGTCAAACTGGAGTTGCCTAACAGAACATGCAAGTAGGCTATGGAAGTGATAGTAAATGTTTCTGCTGCTATATTTGAAAAGATTATGCTGTGGGATGTCACTTGGTAGGAACGAGGCAGCACACTCTGAAATCTCAAATTTCAGAGTCCCAGGCCAAATGTGGATGATTATTGTTTGTGGGTCTTTAATGACAACAGGGTCTTTTTCTCCTATATCTGTGTCCCGAAGTGCCACTGGATGCTGAATTTGAAGGACTTTTTGACACACAGAGTCTTCTTGAGAAGGAGTTGGTTTGAGTCCTTGGGTGTAAGCGTGCCATAGGCCACTTACACAGGCTTTGTAGTGAAAATCCATAAGTATTTTGATTATGGGTTTTCAACTCATAGGGCTTATTAGCCTGGTCTGAGTGGTTTGAATCAGATTACACTGAGCAACTGAGTAATGGCAGGCAGCGCTGCCGTGCCCTGCTTCCTTAGCAAGCATGCAGCATCTGTCCCTAGCTTGCTGAAGTGGCACAGTGACTTGACCAGCACTGAGGATGGAGCACTGGAAGTGGGCAGCAAACAGACTTAGCTGGGAAGCTCTTCCAGGTGTCTTTGCATCCTGCCCGTATGTATGTGTTTGATGCTTGGAATACTCAGAATGGTGCCTTTAGATGTCTATATTTGACAAGCTATGCTGTTCTGGCAGCAACGTACTTGGTTACTGGTGAGGATGGGACCATGTTGCTGGTGAGAGTAGTGTCAGGGCTGCTAGGGGCTCCCAGCATCCTGCCATGCCCCTCTTGATGCTCTGACCTGGACTTGTGCGTCTCATTGCAGCTTGATGAGGAAGAGGAGAGGAGGAAAAGGCGCCGGGAGAAAAACAAAGTAGCAGCAGCGCGATGTCGTAACAAGAAGAAGGAGAGGACGGAGTTCCTGCAGCGGGTGGGTGCCCTGACTTGGAGGTGGGCTTGGAGCCGAGGGCTCTGATATCTCTTTGTGCTGGAGCAGGGGCACTGTGTGAGCGTGGCACAGGACGGCTGGATGCCTGCTGGCCCCCTGCCCAAATTCCAGGAGGTTTCCTCATTCAGAGGCCAGATGCCCTCTGGTGGTGGCATTTAGGTTGGATGTCATGGGGAAGTTCTTTATAGAGAGTGGTGAGGTGCTGGAACAGGCTGCCCAGACAGGTTGTGGATGCCCCATGAACACACTAGAGGTGTTCAAGGCCAGACTGGATGGGGCCTTGGGCAGCCCGGTCTAGTATTAAATGGGGAGGTTGGTGGCCTTGCATGTAGCAGGGGGGAGATCATGATCCTTGAGGTCCCTTCCAACTCTGGCCGTTCTGTGATTCTGTGGCATCAAGACAAAAACCAATTCTAGTGCCTTGCTTTTCGGTAAGGGCTGGTGGGATACTGGCAAACAACACGGCTGTATCATTTCACAAGGGCAGGTCCTTGCAGACAGAGAGGCAAACCTTTTAAAATTTGAAAATGCAGGTTCATTTCCCAACATCTTCGCAGCCTGTGGAAAGCAACCAGGCGTGGGGCTGCTGTAGTGCAGCAGAGCCCTGTCCGAGGAGAGAGCTCTACTTCCTTAAGCTGACACAAGGTAATGGATTGGGTAGGAGCTGCTTGGAGAAGCCCGATGTCTTGGCATGTCTTCAGGCTGCTCCTTTACAGCAAGGGTCGAGTAGTGGTGGCTTGTTGGCCAAGTATTTCTTTGCACCTTGTCCTCATGGAGCAGTCACATGTGGTTGTGTTTCTGCCATGTCAGGAGTCTGAGCGCCTGGAGCTCATGAACGCTGAACTGAAGGCCCAGATAGAAGAGCTGAAACAAGAGAGGCAGCAGCTGATCCTGATGCTGAACCGGCACCGTCCCACCTGCATCGTTCGGACAGACAGCATCAAGACTCCCGAGAGTGAAGCCAACCCGCTGCTGGAGCAGCTGGAGAAGAAGTGAAGGTGGCACTGGAGGAGGAGACCGGCACGGGGTCTTCCGGAGTCGCTAATGTATGTATCGTATGAAGAACTGTGCACCGAGGCCTGGTGCATCCAGGACCCGATGGGCTTCCTTGGGAACTATGGACCAAAAAAAATTTGGGGACAGAGAAGATTGGGAATCTGTCAAACGTCAACTCCGTGGCTGAACCCGGGAGCAGGGCTGGTGGCGCGGGCGAAGGCAACCTCTGTGTGATACCTCATCACAGCCCTTCAGCCTGTTTGTGGCCCTGGGGACCCACGGCGCACAGAGAAGGAGGGGGCGGGAGAAGACCTCCCACTCGGCCCTCTTCCCCACAGCCCTCAGAGTGCCCGTGGGGCGCAGGGACGTGGCCTGCCAGAGCCATCCCCACAGGCTGCCGCCGCACCCGGCGCACACTCGGCACGGAACCCAGCTGCAGAACCGCAGACACTTGACGCGCCCCGTCCGGTGGCAGGCCCGTCGGGGCCCGGTGGCGCAGGCGCCCCCCACAAGCACACTCTCAGTATAATGTTTACAGCCCAGCTGTCCGTGTCGGCCGTGCTTTTGAATGCACATTTTTACACTTTTTTTAAAGATATTTTTTACAAAGTTTTTATACGGCGATCTCTATATGGATTTATATAATCACTAGATGTGATCCCATAGAAACGTATGTTACGATGGTCTGTTTGTTACAAACGCATATGCCGCAGTTATCTCCACTGTGTTACCTGTCTGGCAGTGGGCTCCTTCCCCAGCGCTCTGGGATGGGGGCCCAGCAGCCCTCTGCAGTGCTGCCACTGCCGCCTCCATCCATGTATGTCCTTCATAATATTCAGTTCTGTATCTCCCAGTAAATGTTACCTTTATGTACTTCGCCCTCCTGTGCTCTGTCTGGATCGGGCTGTGGTGGGCTTTGGATGGAGCTCATCCCCATGATGGCAACCATGGGGTTTCTGACTGTGCTGGCCATGCGGGAGGCTGATCTCAGAGCTGTTTTGGTGTTAGCTGTATTGAGGGCATTCATCTAGGGAAGCTGAGAACGTCAGAGGTGGCTCTGACGGCTGTTAGTCAAGCAGTAGCCCGGTGCTGTATCTTAATGGACAGGCAGGACATGATTTGCAGGCAGGAAATGCAAAGGTGGGAGATGTGGGAGATGATCTCATCCTTGCTTCTTCCTGAGTTCAGCACAAGTGCCACAGCTTGAGCCCCTTTAAGGAAGACAGAGAGGAAGGGGAGCTGTCGGAGCCTCAGAATGGTGGTGATCCCTTTGGGAAAGAGGGTAGGATATAGGTCCTGTGGGCCTCCGCTGGCTCCCAGCTTTCTGAGAAGGCTGAGCCCTGCCAGTGCTGAGCACAGAGATGTGCAGGATAGAAGGTAAACAGCCAAGTGGCACTCAGGTTCTAGGACAAAAAGGCTCACTGAAACTGAAGGAGCTGGTATCCTCAGGTGTATAACCAATGCCTGTCACTATGTAGGTGCGTTTCTGAGTCTTACATACAAAGGCAGTGAGAAGTCACCTTGTGGGCAAGGCAAGCTTCATCTCACTCATGGAACACCACTGAGTGGTGGTGTCCTGCATGTTGTCTCAGAGGAACCATGGTGAACCCTATCTTCTCCCAGTTCCTTTACCAGTGTGGATGAGGAGACTTTGATGCAAACTGTGAGCTCTGGTACCCAGTAATGCTGAAGTACTGTTGGGCACAGGATAAGTTCGCCCTAAATGTGGTAAGAGCCCTGGAGGTGGCCTTTTCTGAGCATAACTTCTTCTCTGGTGCACATTTATTTCTCTGCAGACTCCTTTTCCATCTCCAGTGCAGTGGAGTGCACTGGAGCGTCAGTATGCAGTGTCTCATATTAGCCCCTTCTCTGTTTGTTTCTGGATTTCCCCTCCCTTTCTATAACTTCTGTCTCTGGGACCTCCCAGAATTCTGTCAGCTGCCTTATTTAGTGTAAGGTATGTTGGATCTGGTACAGGCAGTTTTTGCCACAGGAGGATTTGCTGGCTGAGGTGTGCTAGAGGGACGTGCAAGGAAGGGATCTGGAACAAAGCTGGTGAAGAAAGGCAGTGTGTGGCCTGGCTCCCACTGCAGCTGGATGGCTCTGCTCCACGCTTCATTCTGCCCTGCAGCAGTGGCTGAGGCCTGACCCTGTTCTCACAATGAGCCAATGTTGGCACGTCTAAGGAATGCAATGGCTCTCACCGAGCTGTGCTGAAAGAGGTTGCAGAACATTTTCTAGTCCTGCTTCTCTCTTCAGGACTTTATTTTTCCCTGCAGAGCATTGAAGGTAATGAATTTCCAGGCTCTTCCATGTATCAGTTTCCTCTTTCCTGATGAGAGCAAGCTTCTTGTGGGACATCAGATGGCCCAACCACAGTCATCGCATACTTCTTGCTTGCCTGGACAGCCCTCGTGCTCATCCTTACATGGAGGGCCTGTGTGACTCCCACGCACCGTTGCCCTGTGCATTGCCATGAGTGCAGGCAGTGGATGGCCCTTCTCTGGCCAACAGCCGTGCTGCAGTGAAACTTCCTGCTATGAAAACAGTTGGCTTGAAAGGGAAATACTAGATGTCCTTTGAAACCAAGCACACTGGCAGGAGACAGCAAAGGCAGCAGCAGTGGAGTGGTGCTGGTTTAATGTGCAGCACCTCCTCCCAAGGCTCAGGCAGAAGCATTCTGAGCCCCAGCAGTGCCAAGACAGGATGTGCCTGTTTCCTGTATGTCTTCAGAGCAGCCTTTTGCTGCACTCTGGTCAGTGCTGAAGAGATTGCCCCTCAGTTTAAGGCATTGTTTTTCCAGAGCACTTGGTTGGACTGCAGCCCAGTGGTGCATTAGAGTGCTATCTCCTGGGGATGTGCAGAAGCACGAGCATGTTCCAGGTGTGAGCCCGCCAGGCCCATAGTGTTGCATCTGAGTCCAGCTCTCATTCAGCTTCCAGCGCTGGGCCAGCCTGCTCCTTGCTCTGAGCCAGCCCAAAGCACGGTGACGGTGTCATCTTTCCACTAGAGTCCCACGGGAAGGTTGATGATGGGGGATTTCACTTCAAAAAGATGCAGGCTGCTTCCCACCCGGCACCCAGCTCGCTGCCCACCCGGCACACCAATGGTACCCTGAGCCCGGTGCTGCCAAGGGCCGCCAGCAGGAGGGGCTGCACGGCCGTGGGAGAGCCGAGGCCCATCGGGGACCCACGGGCTTCTGTCCATTTCCATCTCTGGGGAGAGCCTCATCGGCAGCTAATTTTCTTGAGGTGATTCCATGACGCTGCGATGAGCGGTGTCAGCTAACCTTTGGCAATGACCCGCTCTTGTTTCCTTTTGAGCTGAGGCCAGCAGGTATTCACTTACCTTTGTCTTTATTGGTTCTTCTACTTATCTGGCTGGAAAACAACCCCTAGAAATCCCCAGCCTTGATATTTACCCAGAGACACGGAAACTGGTTCACGTGGTGCTGGTCTGCTCTGAGTGATGCCAGCGCAGCCCACAGCTGAAGAGGGGCCACCAGCATGGCATGGCTGCAGGGATCGAGAGAGTTCACCCGCTCCTTCTTCCAGCTTGGAGACAGAGCCTGGAAGCGAGGGTACAGGCTCAGAACTGCAAGAAGAAGCACCCAGCGTGTGCTTGGTGCTACTTCCAAAGCCCCATGTGGCTCAAAGCAAGAGCAGAGTTTGGGTATGTGTGACAGTGAGGTTTCGCTGCCGCCTGTCACGTCTTAGATGAAGCTTCAGGAACAGGATCCTTTGCCAGTAACCACCACCTTGAGCTGATGTTATCTAGTTTCTGCAGAATGAACTTGCTGAGCTGTCATCTGTATCGCTGTTGGGGGAAGTCCTGACTCCTGACGCTGCAGTTCCTGTGGCAGCTTCACCAGTGCCCTGATTCCAGCAGCACCGCCGGCTGAGGAGGATCTGCTGGAAACCTGCGGCAGCAAGGCTGGGGCTGCCAGGAGGAGGTGGGCGGTGAGGCTTTGTGCCTGCCCTAGTGCTGGTGGGGCCTCCAGGCGGGCCAGCGTGTGCCTTTTGGTCGCTGCTGGCAGCACACTGTGCAGTGCTGCTGAGTGCCGTAGCCCTGTGGCCAGGGCAGTGTGCTGGAGGGGGGATGTGGGCATCAGCAGGTGCCTCTCAGCTGCTGGGGTCTGCCATACAGGCACACCCTGTGGGTGCCAGGAAGAGTCACTGCTGCACTTGCGTAGATATCTGCTAGAGGAGACATCTCTCCTTTTTGATGGAGATCTTCCTCCTTAGCAATGTGACCTTGACGCACTTATCACTTCCAGCCTGCAGATGTTGGTTGTGTAGCAAGCTGAGGTACCAGCGAGGCATTGGCTGGGCCTCTCACAGCAGGGCAGCTGAAATATGGCTTTCTGCAGCCACTCTGCTACCAGTTGATGCCATCAGGTCTCTGGCTGATGTGAAGCAGGCTTTAGGAGCAGCATGGAGTGCCAGAGTGCCCTGCCTGCTGGGTCTCGCTGCCTGCACAGAGCCAAGTGCATGGGCATCTCCCTGCCTGATGGCCACCACATGCCAGGGCTGCTGCACCTCGGTGTTGCTTCTCACCACATTTCAGAACATGGCCAAGCACTGGCTGTCAGCCACGCAGCACGGTGAGGGTGCAAATGGGTTCAAAGCCGTGCTCAAACTGGGAGTGCCCATCTGGTGTATCCAGCCTCTGTGCAGCAGTGGGGAAAGAGGGATGGAGCCTAGGGAATGGGAATGGTTCATCTTGTAACAGTATAGATGGCTGTGGGACATCTTGCTTTGTGTGTTGTGTCACTTCTACTTGCCCCACTGTGAAAATGGGGGACGTCCAAAGATGGGCACTGACCTCAATCTGTGGCATAGGAAAATTTCCCTATGTGGAGACTAAAAGTCCCAGTAATTTAGAGCGGAAACTAATGAAATGCCGCATGATAGAGATGTGTAGAGCAATGCCTGGTTTAGAGATAAGTCTGTTCCCCTGCTCACCCCCTCACAAGATGTTCAAAGAAATGGAAAGACAACTCATTTCAAACTGGTAAACTGACACACTTTTCAGAGCAGCTAATTGCTTTGTGCAAGTGGACAAGGTGTCCGCTGGCATCGAAGAGCACTGAGGATACGGTACTCATGAAAAATGAGGATGCCCAAACTCAGGTCCAAGGGTTTGGATTAAAAAAAGTTAGGAAATGGCTTGGCTCTTGGACACATGCTTTGGGATTCAGATGAAGGGGTGAGGGAAGGAGATTCTGCCTTTCTCTGTCCCCTCTTTGAAACTACACTGGGAGTTAGCAGCAGCAGCAGGAGCTCCTCATGCTGGGGCTGAGGCTGCAGCCCCTCTCCCTTGTCCCAACTCCCAGGCACTGCTGGCCACAAGAGAAAAGGGGGGTGGGGGGTGGAAATGGTGAAACTGTGAAGAAATAAGGGAGAAAGTGAAGAAGCTGCTGTTGGGATGGGAGTGCGCTTGGAACAGTCCTGCTGTTCAGCCATTCCTGCTGAGAAGGGCATCTTGGAGTCTACTTGCTGCAAGAACATGCCCCAAACATATTGTGCCCCGTTCTTGGGAGGGTCAGACAGGTGGTGAGGGTGAGCTTGAAAGGAGTCAAGTCAATTTAGGAGACAAGTAATGTGTTTGCCCCTGTGCCCCACGCCCCAGGGCACGGCAAAAGTGCCAGCGAGGATCAGACTCTGTCAAGCTGCAGCCATCACTTGGAGTAAAATGATTGATGCTCATTTGGACCCACTGCGACATTAGCATGGGCCTGAGGTGTGTGGGGCTGCACAGCCACGCACCGTTCCTACCTCATGGTCTGGAAATACATGAAGGAAGCTGGGGCTGCAGCCCCCTGCAAGCACCAGTAACCTGCCCTGGGTGGATCAGCCGCTCTGGTTAAACGGGTCGCTGCCCTTCCTCTTCGGGCCTTCCCCACCATTGCTGAACGATACTGCCATCGAGGTGAGTCAAACCGTCAGACAGCAGCTGTGCCCCTGCATACACTGTGTCCATGCACTTGGATAAGTCAGACGGTGGGCTCTGTCTTGTCAGGGGAAGAAGAAAAGCCCTGATTTACCAGCGACAGGTGGAGGAGAGGCCTTCTGGAGCCCCAGGTACATGTTCGTCCAGTGGGCTGAGTGGTCAGGTTTGCTCCTGGTGAGAAAGGGACTGGGTGCTTTGAAGAAAGCAGCTGGAGAAAATTTGGCCTTGGTGTCTGGGGAGAAATAACAACATACGTCAGCACAGGTCAGGGGCTGAACTGCTGGAAAGGAGCTCTGAAGAAAAGGACCTGGGTGTCCCAGTGGACAACAGGTTGGCCGTGAACCAGCAGTGTGCCCTTGTGGCCAAGAAAGCCAGTGGTATCTCATGGTGCACTAAAAAGAGCGTGGCCAGCTGGTCAAGGGAGGTGATCCACCTCCTCTACTCTGCCCTGATGAGGCCACATTTAGACTACTGTGTCCAGTTCTGGGCTCCCTAGTACAAAAAAGACAGGGATCTTCTAGAAAGAGTCCCACGGAGGACCAGAGAGATGATAAAGGGCCTGGAGCATCTCCCATGTGAAGAAAGGCTGAGAGATCTGGGTCTGTTTGGCCTAGAGAAGAAGAGACTGAGAGGGGATTGGATCTAAAGCGTGGGAGGCAACGGGGTGAGGCCAGATTCATTTCAGTGCTGTGCTGATTGGACAAGGAGCAATAGCATAAAACCAGAACGTAGGAAGTTCCATGCAAACATGTGGAAGAATTTCTTTACAGTAAGGGTGACGGAGGACTGGAACAGGTTGCCCAAAGAAGCTGTGGAGTGTCCTATGGAGATACTCAAGACTCATCTAGATGCCTATCTGTGTGACCTGTCGTAAGGAACCTGCTTTGGCAGGGGATTGGCCTCAATGATCTTTAGAAGTCCTTTCTGGCTCCTGCAATTCTGAGAGTCTCAGTACCACACCAGGTTTTGTAATCTGCTGGCCTGGAGAGGCATGTAAGCACACACCCAAGTGCTGTGCTTGCTCATGAGCTGCTAAGCCCTGCGGCTGATCCCTTCAGCAACCTGATGTGAACACATTACTTGTGCCCCAAGACTGAAGCTCTGAGGTGTGCTGGAGGCCAGACCATGCTGAGCTCTGCTGGGGCACCCTGTCCTAGAGAGCAAACATGTGGAGATTAGTTTGCTTCTTGTGATGCATAGACAGGGACACGCAGAAAGCACACCAAAGACATTCAAAAAAGTTCATAGAAGCGGCAAAGACAGGTACAGAAGAGCTCTACACTGGCAGAAATGGCTTTACCTGGGCAACCTAACTTCAGCAGTCTCATACATGTGATTACTTCTGCTTTTTGCCCTAGATGACCACATCTTCATCAGCCAGGCTGGACCACTGCTGGAGTGAACCGAGAGCTGGCCTACTGGGCTGCCTGCTTTCTTACCAGGGCTGACACTCCCACCAGACAAGGAAACGAGAGACTACAGAAGGAAAGAAAGAAAGAAAGAAAGAAAGAAAGAAGGTCTTCTGGGCAGATCTTTGGTGCCTTCTGAGAGAGCTGAATCTGCCCCAAAGTGACTTGGTGAGCTGCATAAGCGAGTCTTTCTTAGGAGCAGCCATGTGTTCCTGATTTGCCAGGTCTGCTTTGTGGAAGATCTAAAAGGTTGCAGCTGCAGCCACAGACATCAGGAACTTGGGTCTGGTTAAGTGAATTACTACATTGAGCCAGAAACACTGGAAAATTAATTTTTAATTGGCTAAAATGTCCAAAATTAATGAGTACTTATGAGCAAAATCCCTCTTTATCTGTCATTTTGCAATTGTAAAACAGGAGTATTTCTACCACTTCATGTGGAAAGGTGGATGAGGAAACAGCTTCATTAACAGTCCTCGAGTACTCACCTGGGGATGCTGAAGAGATTAGCACTAGGAAGAGGCTGTGAAGAAATGAAAAAGCAGGACATCAAAGTGGAATCAGACTACTGGGATAAAGGTAAGGTAGCAATGCCAGGGAAGGAACCTTTGTGAGTACTGCAGGTATAAAGGCCAGCCCAGAACAGTACATTGCACATGATGCAAATGCAGTGTGCTTAAGGGAGCTAATTCTGAGTTTTCTGTACTTTTGAGTGCTTGATTTTACAGCTCTTGTCATTTGTAACTCATTTGGGATGTATGCATCTCCTGTAGATGATGAGGTTGTGCTCGTTGTGGACTGAAAGTGCTTGTGGGATGGATGATTGGTATGACTCAGGTGGGATAAACTCAACGGGACGGAGCCCTGCTCTCCTGTTCCCCCTTACCTCAATACAGTGATATAATCCTTAGGATAGAGGCAGGCTGTCCTGCCAGCTGGGGAAGCTGCCCTGGTGCAGACAGGATTAGCCTGTGCTGCTGGGATGCTGTGCTGCAGAAACTTACCAGGTAGTGTGAGGCCTTCATTCACCACCACCACCACTCATCAGCACTGAATCCCACACAAGAGTCTTTGAACTCGAATGGGGAATATATGCAAATTGTTGTGATTGTATTGTGAGAAGGTGTTTGCATAAAATGTTACGTGTGGAGCAGAAGCAACCCCCACGGTTTACAGAAGGCTGAAGTTGATAACTTCCCTACGCTGGCTTTTTAAATAGCACTATTCACTGAGTGCTCATGCAAAGAAGATGAGTGAGAGGGATGCGGTAGGTTTATGGGGAAGCTGCAGCAGTCTTTTCTCCTGAGAAAGCAGTGTGCATGGGCAGGTGTGGGGGCTGGCTGCAGTTAAAGCCTGGCAGATGCACAATGTGCTCTCTTAGTAATTATTATGTAAATAAGTCACCTTATTTAAACCCTGGGAGCATCTCTCTCCAGCCTGTCCTACAGAAGCAGAATGAAACCCAGACCACTTCTGACAAAGGTTTGTTCCTCACCACTTCGTGTGAAGGGGACAGCGTTGCCTTTCTAACTTTGACCTCTTTTCAAACTCTGACCTGAATCTCTCTCACTGCCATTGAAGCCTGGCGCCGGCTGCACAGAAAACAGCTGACCACTCTTTCCATTACAGCATATCAAAGACAGCTCCTTCCTCCCCCGCTCTCCGTTGGTCCCCAGGAGCTCTCTTTTCTAGGCGGAGTGGACCCATCATCTTCGCTCCTTCCTCTTCACACAGGAGTTTGGTGTGTTCACCCCATGGGTTATTTTCTTCTGGGCTTTTTCACCCCTTGGGAGGGGCAGCCATCCCCTCACCTCCCTCAACCCACCTGCTGCCTGCCCACTTGCACAGCTCCGCACTGCTGCCAACGCTTTGCTTTCAGATGGCTCTGTAACCCCCAGACTTTTCCCTGCTGTTCTGCTGCCTAGCTGGTTATTCCCCACTTCTTCTCTATACACTTTGCGTTGCTTTACATTTGCATTTGTTCTTGCTGAGTTGCACCTTGTTGCTGTCAGACCATTTCTCTGTAGCTGAGGTCATGCAAACCCCAAGCCTCCAGTCCCTGCCACCTCTCTGCCCTCACATTGCCTGCACGATTCAGGTAAAGGACTGCCCTCAGCAGGGACCTATGCAGAACCAGATGGCTTCATCCTTTCCCTACGCTCGTCTGAGAAATATCTCTGCTCTGTAGGTCTGCTGGCATGGCAGTGACCTAACACTTGTTGCAAGCTCATCCTGCGCTGCTGATAATGATTTTGCAGCTGCTGTGATTAAGGTCAAGACACTTAAATGATCCCAGAGAGAAAGTCAGGGGATGCTATTCACAGTGTGCGTTTAAGTCACCAACATGAAGCATGGGGGTCAGGAGGCTGGCTCCTATGTAGGCTGCAAGCTGGGATTTCTCTATCAGCCCTGGGCTGCTAGGAACAGCCCAGCTAAGATGTAGCTCCAGACTTTTCTTTTGAAGATCAAATGAGTTTCCATAGAAATGATTGCCCAACTTGTGCCTGCTTTCCCAGCTTCCAGAACTGCATCCTGCCAACTACTTGTCCCTGGCTGAATTGCTTCTCAGCTGCTGGGCTTGCTGGCTGCCAAAGGAGGGCATTTGGCTTGTTTGCCCAAGGATGAGGCAAGTGAGGAAGGAGTTCTCTGTATCTTGCCTTCAGCAACAGCAGCTTGTAGAGCCTTTGAGGAAGGCTCGAAGGAACTTCTGATGTGGTGGATGGGAGCCCAGGTAATCCATGAGACGTGCTTGATGCCAGAGGAGTGTGGGTTTCCTCCGGACAACGGGAATTCAACAGTGTGCTTCCTGCAAAAGAAACACTGTGTGGGGCTGTAGCATTCAGAGGAAGTGTAGTGAGGCAGTGAGTGAAGTGATGGTTCAATGGTTTGTCTGCCAGCAGCAGCTTGGCAGCCTTGAATCTGCCCTTCTTCTCATCATTGCCCTGTGAGTGCCCTGTTCCTGGGGCTCTGAGGAGCTCTGTATGCTGGGTAGAGGCAGCACAGGGAGCAGGTTCTTGCTAAGCAAGCAAACTTTGTGCTCACAGGTAGGAACTGTGCACCTCCACTTGGAGAGAAGGCTGAGGGAAGGCCTCATGGCAGCCTGCAGCTCCTTGCAGGGAGCAGAGGGGCAGAGCTGAGCACTACTCTTTGGTGACAGTGACAGGGCCTGAGGGAACAGCATGGAGCTGTATCAGGGGAGGGGCAGGTGGGGGGTTAAGAAAAGCCCTCCCTCCTTCACCAGAGGGAGGTGGGCATGGAACAGGTTGCCCAGGGCAGCGGGCATGGCCCCGAGCTGCTGGAGCTCAAGGGGCATTTGCCCTGCTGCAAGAACCCGCTCACCATGCCTGGCATAGGACACTCATGTGGGTTTGGGGCTGTGAAAGCACAGGCTGCTGGGGCTAGGGTACAGTGCTGCACTGTGCTGGGCTTTGATATTCCTGTGCAGAAAGCAGAAGGAATTGAAACACCGGTAAGCGGGAACTGCGAACCGCTGCTTTCCACAGTAGTGCGTTACTGTGGGTGGCTCGTGCTTCACTCGCTATCTGCCCTTCACAGCATGTGTGTGCACCCAGTCGCTCTGAGGATGTGCACTTCTGTCTGTGATGGACAACCTGCTGGCACCTGGCCCCGCTCACCCTTCTGGCTCCAGTGCTGCAAGATGATTGGGAAGGGAATGGTCTTGCTTCTCTCCCTGCTCCCACGTCATCATCTGCAGAGCTGCAAGTGGGACAAATTGAAGCACAGCAGCTGTGGTGCCGTGCCCAAAGCAGAGTGCTCTCAGAGGGCAAATAGCAAGGAAACAAGCCCAGTATGCTGTGATATCCACATGATATTCACATCTTCTGATGCTGGCTATGGTGAGAGAGGGCAAGAAGGAAAAAGGCAGGGAGCCAGGACCCATGCACAACAGCTGCATGTACCCAAGATGGACAAGCTTGTACTGTGGCATGGAGTGACAATCAGGTCTCAGCTCCAGCTGCTGGGTCTATAGGACCTTCCCACTCACTCCAACAACTCCAAATGTTCTTCCATCTCAGCTCTTTGTTTTCATCTGAGCCTGGCTCATCCCACACACACAAGCCATGGTATCAGCAGCATCTAGGTGATGCTGGCTGAGGATGCAGGTCTCCCCTGACACTTGCGCAGGCAGGACAGGCGAGTGGGCTGCGGGGTTGAGGGAGGCTGCCTTGGAACTTCCCAGCAGGGTTGGGGTGACGGAGGTCACCAGCTCTGCACTGCCTCCTGCCCTCATAAGACCATGGGTGTGCAGCTCCTCCCGCCCTGGAGTTTCTGGGGCTCCCGACACCACCTCCTCCACGCTGCCCTCCTTTGAGGGTCCTGGTTTCGCAGCCAGGGCTGGGGCTTTTCTTCCCTTTACATCTCTGCTGTTTGTCTCGGAGAAAACCCATCTTGCTGTTTTTCTACTGCTTGAAGGTGTTTTTCGGGGTTTTTTCAGGCTATTTTGAAGCTCATTTTTCCCAGATGTGCTTTTTTTTTTTTTTTTTTTTTTTTCTTCTTCTTCTTCTTCTGTAACTTTTCTTCTTCGTCTTAAAGTTTCCGGCCACGTGACTTTCAGCTTACATCCCCTAGGTTCTGAGAAACCACAGGAGGCTGAGACCTAAAGGAAGGTGCAGAGCTCAGAGCGGAGAGGCAGAGGAAGCAGCAGAGCACAGGGCAGGAGGACAGCGTGCCTCCAGGCTGGGGAGTGCTAGAACCCAGTGAGCACTCCAGGGTAGAGGAGAATCAAGGGAGAAAGAGAGAAGCCAGGCACACCACAGTTTCAAAGGAAGCCAAGGAGGTCCTGGGAACCAGAGACAGGAGCCATGCCCCACAGCTCCGACAGCAGCGACTCCAGCATCTCCAGCCAGTCCCCTCCTCCTAGCAAGCAGGTAAATGGGGACCCTGCCCTGCCTCTCCCCAGCTCTCCTTCAGGTTGGCAGGAGGCTCTGAACGGCCATAAGGAAGCCTGGCATCCCTTGCTGTTGCCTGCATGACATGTTGTGGTGGGGCTTTCTAGGAACTGCTGTGGAGAGTGTGGGATGTGAGGCTGAGCTGGGAGCAGTGCCCGCTGAAAGGGGTGTAGGGGAGAGGAAGGCCCAAAGAGCTGGGGCTGTACTGAGGACAAGGGGGGACCCCATGGCATGTTGGGCCCTCTGCTATCTGCCATGTAGGAGGCTGCATGCAGAGTCCAGTGTCACTGAGAGGATGCTCAGGGGAACCTGCCTGCTTCCTACTGCCTTGCAGAGCACTCATGGGAACACTCCGGGGAAACCCTGCTGCTTTGGGTCTGCTCTTCTTATTAATCTTCAGAAGGTTTTCATCTCAGTGATGCTAGGCTGAGGGAATTTTTGTTACTGCACAGAGTGCCTTAATGGTAGATCTTTGGCTGGCAGAAACTAACGCAAGCCCAAGTTATTTCTATCTCCTTCATTATAGCTATCATTTGCCACCCGCCTGGTGCTGACAGCACCAGCATATACCTGAGACTTTGCCCAGAAATCTCCAGGATGACTAGAGCTGGTGATTTCAGGCTTGCAACCAGGAATGGGGAGGCATCCTGCGGGAGAAGAGGATGAAGCACAGAGACTGCCAGGGGACTGGGCTTGGTGCAGTACTTGGGATCTAACACGTATGAAGTTGGTAGGGTAACGAAGGCAAGGATAAAACAGTTAAGTTCAAAGAAGAGAAAAGATCTTGGGCGGGGTGGAGGGGGGAGAGGATGTGGACAGACTGATGGGCTGGGAAGATAACTTTTGTGGCTGAGTTTCATAGTCCTGTGAGGGAGCAGTGGTGCAAATGTTAGAGAGTCCACAAAAGAGGCAGCACCATATGAAAACAGATGAAAGAATCTGTATGACAGTTTTAACTGTCAGAAGGCAGCAGCAGGACCAGATCTGAGCAGAGAAGGGCTGCTGCATGAAGCTTTTGACCTGGCACCACAGGATTGAGCTTCCCTCTGCCAAGGGCTCAGAAGCACCATGGGCAGCACTGTGGATTGTTGCTGCCAAGGGACTGCAGAAAGGCGCAAACACGGGGATGGGAGAGCTGGAGTGAAGGAGATCTGGGGATAAGGCTAAAAGTCAGAGTCTGCCTAGTTAAGTATGCAGTGTCACAGTGAGCTGCACCATGCTATAAGGGTCTGCAACAATCCAAAACTGACAGAGAAGGGTGATGGGGAGAGGGTTTGGGACCTACAGGGATGGAAGGAGGAAAGCACAGGATGCATCTCTGGAAAGACAATTTAGCCAAGGAGCTGGAATAACTGCAGTGCCATATCTTTCCAGAGAGGTGAAGGGAAAGGTTTCCTGAGCAAGGAGCTCAAATTCTCTCTTCTGGAGAGGTCCTTGCCCATGTTCCTCAAGTCATATCCTTGGCTGGTGTCTTGGCAAAGCAGTCATCCCCCAGTTGTGCCAGGGTGGTTAGGGGATCAGATCTGCCTCTCCTGGCATCTGAGATGTCAAAAGCATCACATGTCCCTGAGGCAGAACTTTGGATGCGTTTCATAGCCTGTGCTTCAAGGCTGTTATCTGCTGTTGTCGCCTTTCCCATCTCAAGCCCAGCAGAAGCAGGGTGAAGGAGGGTTGCTGCAGTCATTTCCATGCCTCATGTTTCCCTAGGACTCTTCTGATGACATGAGGAAAGTCCAGAGGAGGGAGAAGAACCGCATTGCTGCCCAGAAGAGCCGCCTGCGACAGACCCAGAAAGCAGATACGCTGCACTTGGTGAGCACATCCAGCCTTCTCCATTCCCTGCATGGAGGGCTCGCAGTGGGGGGATAGGAGTGGAGGTACTTGATTGAGCCAGGACAGGAACAGTGGAGCCAAGGCAGGGTATTGGAGGCAATGCTAATGGCATGGGCAGCTTTCCTTTACTGAGATGCCCAGGGGCACTCCTCCTTCAGCAGGTCCAGAGTGAAATCCTCTGGTTCATCTACCAAATGTTACAGGTTTCCTCTCTAGGCTCAATCAAGATGACTCATTCTGTGTCACTGGTACCATGTCTGCCTTTCCCATGGGGTCATTGCTGCCAGGATTCATGTCTGGCAGGTCCTGTTGTTCCTATGCATCAGAAAGGGTGATGGCCACTGAAGCCTGTAGTTTAACATGCAGTTCAATATCAAGACTTTATCTCTCAGTTTGGCATGACCAATTTCCTCCCTTAACTTCTTCTGAATGCTTCAGGCAGAGGCTCTTTCAAAGCATAGCTTCATTAGGATTGCACAGGAAAGCATGGGTTCACTAGGCTCCCAGGTTCGTGCTTCATGTTGTTACTTACTTGTTTGGTGATGCAACAAGCACAGAAGCAAGCCTTTTTGAAATGCTGCGCAATGCAGGTGAAAAACTATTAATCATTTTCCAATATTTCAAAACATCCCTATGGCAGAGGATGCATCCCTTCTTGTATCCAGACAGTACCTGGAGGCATTTCCTCTTGCACAGCATGGATTTTCCCTGCTTTGGTTTCACCCCTGTTGTTCCATTCTACCCTGTGGCACCACAGGCACTCTGCAGCTCCTCCCAGTGTGGTGAATCAGGAAGGTACATTTCAGGAGGGACGGCCATTTCTTGCTGTGTGCATTTGGCCAGGAGCATCTGAGCAGTGTTGGAACATAGGGGCAAGCACGCTTGCATTTTGCACTGATAAATGCAGTCCTCTGTGTTTTGGGCTGCTGGTGAGCAGGATGCAGTGCATGTGGCCTGCAGCATGAGGAGCCATCTTTGTCCCTGAAGTATGCTGTCCCTTTGAAGTGCGATAGTCAAGTTCACGTTCAGAAAAACATCCTTTGACTTAGAAGTCTTCATATTTCCCCAAATCTTCATTTTTTGAAGGAATTGAGGTGCAGTCCCTGAGCCTTACCTCTCACATTTTGACCTCAGTCCGTGCTTGCGGCTGATTTTACAGCAGAGATCTCACTCTTTCCTATGTGGCGGATGATAATGGTAGAAGTGACGTGGCTCCAGGCTGTCTGCATTCATTAGTTCTGCCAGCAGCAACAGCTCTGGGAGCTGCATGTTCAAGGGGTGGAGACAGACACCTCTTTGGGCCTGGTGCTCTGTCCTAGGCAATCCTAGAGATGGATAGGGGCTCTCATCTTCCCTCAGGAAAATCCTGACTTGCACCAAGAATTGGGCTGCTCTTAGGGCAGACAACAGACAACTTTCTTAGCAGATAAATGTTCAAATGGCATCAGTAACAGAGACTCATTCCCCTTCCATGAGCTGGGATCTGGGACTGCTGCAGAAGCACGTGGAGGCAAATAGAGAGTGGATGGTGAATTTTTGCTAAGGCTTTTCCAGTTCATCCCTAATCCTCTCTGTCTCTGGTGGGCTCTGCATGAGGAATGGTGTCTCTACACAGTTCTGCCCAGAAAAGTTGGGGTTGAGGTGCTTTCAAGGAGCCAGCAGCTCCATCCGTCCCCAGGCATCCCAGCTTGTGTTGAGGGGAACGGGTAACAGTGAGGTTGGAGCTCCTGGCCACAAGGTGATTTCTGTCAGCTCACAGCCTGAGGTCAGTGACAAAACACTTTGTCACGTCCCAGAGATGATGCCCATTTTTAGTGCTGTAAGCGCTGGGTGCATTTACACTGCTGTGGAGAGCAGGCACCTCCAGCAGTCAGTGCAGTGGTGGAGGTCCGACAGGTTCACTTCTCCGGGATCTGGTGCAGCTCTCCTAGGTCCCATGTTGGCTGAATTCCCAGAGTGCTCCCCGCTTCCTTCTGTCTTGCTGCATGGCCACCAGTACCCGGGATGCCCCACTTGGAGCTGCCCACCTCTCACTAGCAAAGGGTGTGCTTTGCTCCGGATCGCTGAGGCAAGGCTGTGCATAGCCCCTTTGTTGTTATTCTCATTAATATCGGTAATAATTCATCTCTGAGGCCCGGGTTTCTCTTTTCTTCTGACTCAAGCGTCTCTCCCCTCCTCCCCGCCGTGCCGCTGGTTTCCCCGGCTGCTAGCAGGAAGCAGTGAGTCTTTTCTTTCCAGGGCAATGACAGGTTTCCTGTGGCAGGTGGTTTTCTGGTTAAAGACGGCGGTTATTCGGCGCACCCTCCCCCCGGCCGCACGGCCCGGGAAGCGGCCAGCAGCGTGCATGTGCGTGAGAGGGAGCGAGAAAGCCTGGGCGGGCGCACTTCTCGTAAGCCCGGGCCGCCAGCATCGCACCCTCACCCAGCCTGCTGCAGGGGGGTGTTGCCCTGCTGCCGCTCGGTGCTGAATTTGCCGGAAACGTGTTGTTCTGGAAAGTGCTGGGCTGAGAGGTGCGAGCACCAGACCCCAGCTGTGCTCCTGGAGAGCACCGGCCGGGAGGGGCTGGGAGGTGACACTGAGGGACACAGTTTAGTGGGCACGGCGGGAGTGGTTTGAGGGTTGGACTAGCTGATCTTACTGGTCTTTTCCAACTTGTATGATTCTATGATCAGAAGGGGTCTCAGGGCGTGATTCTGCAGCATGCTGTAATGCAGGGCAGCTCCTACAGCCCCACTTGTAATCGCACTGCTCTCCCCTGCTCCCACCTCCCCCCAGCGTCCCCATTCACACCTGCAGCTGAGGAAGCCCCCGTGGTTTTGTCTCCCCAGGAGAGTGAAGACCTGGAGAGGCAGAATGCAGCCCTGCGCCGGGAGATTAAGCAGTTGACAGAGGAGATGAAGCACTTCACCTCGGTGCTGAGCTCCCACGAACCGCTCTGCTCCATCCTGGCATCGCCCCCACCCCCACCCCCGGAGGTGCTTTACGCTGCGCATTCCTTCCACCAGCCCCACATCAGTTCCCCACGCTTCCAGCACTGAGCCCGCTTGGGTTGGCCAAGAACCAATTTGTGGGGCTCACTTTTCCATCTGTAGAGGGACGAATGGACAGACACCCCTTCTCAAAGTGTGTACTCTGAGTGACTTTGTCCAAGACTTCTTCCCTGTGCAGAAATGGCAGAGCCACCAGCAGGCATCTTCAGGCGGTTTCCAGCTTGGATCCTGGAAAGAGGAGAATTCAGCATCAGCTGTTCCCTGGTTCTTGCCTGGGGACATCACAGGCTGCCCTTGTACTAGTGGCTGGCTGCAGCGTGCAGCATCAGGAGCTCCAGGCACAGGAATGAGAGCAGGGGTGGAGGGGAAGGTTGGGGGACACAGAGTACCAGGGTGAAACTGGTTTATTTTTGTAAAATAAAGAATGAAAATGCTTCATGCTTTGTTTTTTGAGATAGGGTCAGCCATCAGTCACTCTGAAGGTCCTGCATGACACAGGGAACCTGGAGTGGCAGTGGGGGAAAACTCATGTCATTCACCTCATTACTAGAGCAATGCTCTGTGGAGGCAGGTTCTGGGAGGAGATGGGCTGTTCCCGGTAGGGCTGGACTCAGCTAATGGATTGGGCATGCTCTGCAGAGCAGTATGGTCCTGTTGGGGATGCTGAGTGGAGGCGTCAGTGGTGGTACAGGCGGACTCTGCACCCCAGGATCCCCAGCCTGGCTATCGGCACAAGCACAGGGCCGAAGTCCACTGCTAGTGCAGGTCCTGATGCTAATGCTGGCTCACAACTGTTGCCCTCCCTGAGAAACACTAGCTGCTGTTTTTTCAGCATAGGGTGTCACAAGCAGTGTTGCTGATGTAGGCTTCACGTCATCCCTTTAGACTATGGCCAGAGCTGCTGCTCCCTGCGGAAGCCTTGCCTGGAGCTACCCAGGCTACATTTCACAGGGATTTGGCCCTTTAGACCGACCATGCAGCAACAACTTGAGCTCTTCAAGAGCTCAGGTTTGCAAGGCTCAGTTTCTGCTCCTCCAGCATCTGTAGGTTTGACCCTAGGCTTTTCACTTGCTGTTTCTTAGGGCTCTGATGCCCTTGTGCTCACTGGGTTATGCTGGGTGGGAGGATGGAGAATGCAACAGCCTTGGCGAATTTTGCACTGACTTACAGCAGTATCACCACCAATAACGAGAAAGCACCATCTGTCCCAGCCTGATGCATGTGTGCCATACAGCTATAAGGGCAACATTTTTGTTGCAGAGGTGTCAAGGCCTGAGATCTTGCAGACTGGGTGGGGTTCTGCGAGATGCCCACAGCATTGCTAGACTACTGGTAACGTCTCCGATGTATTACTGCGACTCAGAATGAAAATAAGTGGTAAGTACTGAGACTGGGAGACGGGTATGCAACAACATCCTCTCAGGAACATAAACAGTAGTCCTGGCAGCACCAGCCAGGGTGCCCCGCCTCCACAGGGCTGCACACTGGGCGCCCTTCAAGTAGTGCTGCACTCACTCAGCATTGGCCCAACACCAGACATGGATGCTATAGGAAGCATCTCCCAGTTTGACTTGTCTTTGCCCCAGTCCCGTCCTCAAAAACCTGATCACAAAAGATGCTTTTCATGTTTGAGTGGGTTTTGACCTCTCCATTGCTTCTGGTTATTTTTGGGTGTCTAAGATGCTGTCTTTTGTTATGAAAAATGGTTCCCTGAGAGACAGGTATCCAACCCAAACAGCCTGGGTGTGAGCAGGGTGCTGCTGCTCCTGGTGCACAGGCAGACATGGGATCGGCTGGGCCTGGTTCTACCTGGCCAACCTGTGGCCATATCACAATGCCCTTCTGCTGCAGGATGCAAGCCTTTGCTGAAGAGCTCTTCCAAATCAGCAATGAGGGCTCCCAGAAGCAGTGAAACTCTTTGAGTGGAAGAATTCCAGGCGAAAAGGTTACTCTTCCTTGCAAGCAAAGAATGAGGAAATGCTGCGTTTGTGCTGGCCTCTGCTGGGCAAAGGCTGAGCTCTGCTGGCTCTGAAACCTTTCTGATCAGCTCTGATATTGCACAGCTGGCTCCAGGTTCAGAAAGGATGCTTCCCAAGAGAGCATCTCTAGAGATGCTGGGGCTCTGCTTTGGGCAGCTGCTGGGCACGGCCAGCAGAAAGCTTGATGTGTGAGGGCTGAGGGCGATGAGGGTAGGGGGAAGGTGGTACCGGGTGACAGCTGCTGCAGATGATGCTCTTCTAGCCCTAGTGACAGCTGTCTCCAAATAGATGTCTTTGCAACAAGACAGAATGGAGGTATGTGGTAAATGCTGATGTGGAGAGAGGAGTGAGGGAACAAGAGGTTCATGCTGTCCTTTGTGTCCTTTACTGATCCTAGCACTTCTTATGGATCAAGGCACTCATGCAACTGCAGAAGGACAGCAAGTCACAGACTATGGAGGTGCAGCAATTTCCTTCATTTACGTCCCCTCAAAAAGCACAGACTCAGCACTGTACAAGCACTCAGTCTCAGCATTTCAGGGCTGCTTCTGTGGTTAGATAGATAAAAACACGACACCCGGTGCTGACGTAAGCTGCATGTATCTCGCAGATGGGAAGCCCAAGGCAATCTTTTATGCCTGGCATTCCCTTCCTGCTCCATCTTCCTCAGCTGGGCTGCAGGTTCCCAACATGTAAGTGTTGAGGTGAGGAGGAACAGAGCCAGCCCAAGGCAGGTGCATCCATCCTGTTGCACCAGACTACTCTGTTCCCAGCTGCAGTCACTGCGATGTTCTCCCTCAGATCTGATTCTCTCAGGGGGGGCAGAAGGCGTGATACCCAAGTCCCCTTTGCAAGGAGTCAGAAGAGAAGGAGGGGCACATGCTTTCAGTTTGGCGAAGGATAGGTTCAGCAGCTGTGTTGCCCACTTTGCAGTGACTCCAGAGTATTTACAAGCTCCTTTTGAAAAGCCTCTCTCCAAAGTACTGGTGCTGCCAGCCTGCATCAGCAGGAGGAACATCTGCATACTGAACCTGCAACAGCCCATGGAAGCAATGAGTATGTTTCCCAAAGCAGCACTTGTCACACAGGGTGCAGAATGGATGCTAGTGTTTCTGTACACAGAGATCAAAGAAGATCAGGAATCACTGCTGAGAGACAAAGTATTTTTATGAATCAAGAACTGTGGAGAAGAGAAAAAGCCAAGTGTAGACTGAAATGGTCAGACTTTTTCCTAGAAAACAGCACAGTGCCAGCATGCCCCACGTCCCTGCTCTGCCATGTGTTGCCACTTTATTTATTAATGCTTTAGAGGAGATCTGAGCACTGATGCAGCAACATTTGTACATGTAAGGTTGTTCAGGTTAACCAGATACCTACCAAACTGTAGGGAATACATAGACCCAACTTAGGACTCCTAAGACCCAGCCAAGTTTTCTCTCCCCACAACAGTGATGGTCTGGGACCCCAGCTCATGTCCTTATTCTTTCTCTTTTTTGCTGAAGTGGAGGAGGAAGAGCATGCCTGAGTTTGGCACTGAGCCGTACATGCTTCCAGCACTCTTCAATTATCAACTAACGCAGTTGTAAGCATTAGGAAATGAAAATCTTTTTTTCTGTCATTGGTGTGACTCACTGCGATGAGGCTGGAGGATGCTGAGTAAGAAGGGCTCCTATACTTTGAGCATTTAGTATTTGGGGTTAATCTGTGACCCTGATCTGGACTGGGAATGTAAATCTAGACTGTGGCCGAGTTTTGAGTCTTGCTGTCTCTTTTTTCTTTTATTCCGCACAGGATGAAGTGAAGCTCAGGCTTCATGTGCATGCCTGGTGCACAGCAGAGGAGACAGGCAGTGACTCCAGTGACAGAGCCACAGAGGTTCTGCCCGGCTGTCCTCACAGCTATGTCTGTCCCCGCAGCCTTTCACAAACAGAGGTTGAGAGATGGGCTTAGAAGCTGAAGCAGTGCAGCACGCTAACCACAGCTCTTGGATTAGAGCTGGTTCTCATCCATCCAGATCAGAGAGCGGGCGGAGAAAGCTGACAGCTGTTGCAGAAGGCTGTGCAGAGGTACCATGACACACTGTGTCCCAAGGTGTGAGCTAAGCAGCAGTCAGCATATCGAGGAACCAGAGCTTTTCGAGGCTTTAAGTTATTCCCTAAACAGCTTTGGTCATTCTGAGGTCTGCCCTCCTCTCTGAATGAGGTACTAGATTGCGCAGCCAAGCTGTTGCGCTTTATGTAGAGGAAAATTTTGCAGTTTTGAATGCTGCAGGGCCTGCATGCTGCAGTTTTATAAATGTAGCTATCCATCGCCGTGTCCCCAGATCTATACATACGAAATGTAACAGGAAAGATTCATAAGGGTTTAGGGAATCAAAACAATTAATGGCGTTTATGAACTGCGCCCCGAGCCGTGCTTTCAGGAGGCTGCCGGGATGCAGGCAGCTGCAGGTGCCAGCAGAGGGCTCGCAGCCTGCCCTGCTCCATCGGGGAACAAGGCTGCCTTTGTCCCGCACGGCCACCTCGGCATGCCGCTGAGCACCCCGCGCTGCCAGCTGTCCTGTGCCGCAGCGCTGGGACACCGTGGCGCGTGTGAGAGTTGCCGCTTGCTCTGCTGATACAAGTGGCTGCTTGCTGAAGATTACCACTAAAGCACTGGGCGTGGAACCCAGCGCAAAACGTCATCCCTCGGTGTGCTGCTCTGGAAGGGATTTGCTGCAAGGTGTTGGTGAATCCATGCTCTGTCTGCCATTTCCAGGCTGAAATGACTTCAAAGGTATTCCTTAGCCACTGCCATCAGCCCAAACTGATGTGCCACCCAGCTTTCCTTTCTTCTGAGAAGCTTAACTTACCTGTAACAACAGCAATCTTGTAATCTTCCCCTCTGTGAAAGGCAATGTGAGATAGGCTGGGAAATCTTCTGGTATCATTTCTAGACTGTAATCCCATCAGTCAGAGTGCAATAAAGCCTCCTAAGAACTGTGCTAGTAAGATCTTTTAAGTGCAATGATAAGATTTAAGAGGCAAAAATCATTGCTGGGAGTTTGAGAGCAATAGACATCCTACATGAATGTGCTTCTTATTTAAAATGAGCCTGAGCTTCTTGTGAAGTCTCTGCAGGAAATCCCAGCTGGGAGATCCAGTGGATCTTGGGGGTTGGAACTAGATAATTTTAAGGTCCCTTCCAACCTAAGCCATTCTATGATTTTGTCCCTAAGCACTCACTTTTCCCCTTGCCAGCCTTCACCTTTCGTCCACCTCCTCTCTGGGCCTCTGATTCAATGCAGAAGAGAAAAAGCATCAAGGAATTACTCTTCAGACGGATTATCACTGCCACCATCATCCCTAGAGTTACATTTATTGAGAAAACTAGCTTGTTCCAAAGCATTTTCTT